CTCCCTCTCCGCATCCTTCCCCTAATTCTCACGCTTCTCCGGCACGCAGGCAACAGTTGCACATGCACATCACGCACGAATAACAGGCACGCAGATACACCCCCCCCTTCCCACCGCTCCCCGCATCGCAGCCCCCCCACACCCTCCCCACAAACACATCCCTGCCCAGCTGGGTTTCGGAGCAGACCCGCAGTTTAAAGTCCCCCAGCGAGGCGGGAGGGAATAAGACGGGGTGCGATATCCAAAGGGAGTTTCAGGGATATATTCATGTCTTGGATGATGCTTTTGGTTTTTTGGAAGTGGAGAGAGGTGCAGGCCTCTTTCTTCCCAAGGCAAAAAACACACCCATGTGTCAGGAAGAGAAAGCGAGGGCAGAGAGGGGAATCAAGGCTTTAAATTAGGGTATTCTGAAACATTTATGTATGTACATCTATATCTCCAAATCCAAAGGGACCTTCCCACAGAGGGGAAGGCTGACGCTAACTGGGGTCTGGAAATTTCCTTCCAGGGAGGTGGGAAGAGAGGATACGAGGGCACGGTGCAGAAGTTAGGTTATACCATCCACTCGCTGCACAAATAGTTGGGGAAACAACACACCTTATAGCAAGAGAGCTCAGAGGCGTGTTGAAACAGTTTGTATTCCAAAACCCACGTTAATGTCTTCCAGCCATAAAGCGGCTCCCATCTTCTGCCTGCGCCCTCTGGCACCGTGCCCTTTGGTAACACCTCCATTGGTAATTAAGGGCTACTAAACAACCCTTTTAATTTCCAGCAAACATATCAAAACAATCATTTTCTTTTCACGCACCACCTGGAAGTCTAGGCAGCCCCACCAATGACAAACTCCGCTAGCATTTTAACTGCGTGCAGATTGTCATTTAAAATATATTTTTAATATCCCTATATTCACTAAGTAACAGAGCTGCTTAGGCAGAAAGAACCATTGCTGATTTTAATGAACTGAAATCAGTTTAATGTGCCAGTTTTATTTTACTGTCAATGGGAAGCCTTCCCCTCCTACCTAAATTGATAAGCTACGTGAAATGTTTTGCTCTGAAGAATTACTGCTTTTTCTTTAACTAAACACGCACCCACAGTTTTCACGACTCGCTTTCAAGGTAATCTGCACGAACTGACTTGATGGAAACCAAGCTGGGTTAGAGAGTTCTCCTACCGCAGGAGGGCAAATACACCCCCTTACAATTTGCAAAACCATCAGCCACTGGCTATGTGGCAAACGCTCACAAATAAAAGCCCCGAACCCAGGTTCGTCGCCCTCCCCTCACTTCTGAGCAACGTGCCAGAAAGGTAAATGTCTTACTTTGTAGCTAGAAGCATGTTTTTTCTTGTGACTTGCTCGTTTGGATCGGAATGTTGTCGGTTGAGAAATTCAGCTACTGCTTTGGCAGGAAATTCTGTCTCACAAACGTACCCAAAATCTCTAGCTAGATGTACTGCTTCTCCTGAAAAGGGAGGCACGGGTGGGGATGGGAAGGAAACACACAGCTCATCAGTACACATAGCACAGAGGAAAAAAAACCCGTTAGGAAAAAGAAAGCACTACATTCTACTCGGGCTTTTCTTCTAAAAGGCTTGGACTTTGTCTTGTTTCTTTGAAAAAGGTAGGGTAAGAAATGCTAATCCCATTTTATCTTGCAGGAGTTTTCTTTGCTTCAGTCGAGAGCAATGCAAATGTGGATTTTCACAACCCTTACAAGCAAAACCTCACATCAGAATTTTTTGAAGTTTACAGTGACTATCAGATACTTTTAGACAGGCAGTCTCCATCCAGGTAGAATGTGTGCTTAGGTTTACATCTTCATACCTATGCACAGCCATTTACGTACACTTCATTCACAGCTATTTACTCTGGAAACGCTTGTTTGCCTCAGCCACATCTCTATATTCTTTTGCAATGCATCAATGATTAATATTGATCATAATTACTCCTAGAGCTCTTCTAAATAAAATGCATTAAACAGCTAAGTGTTTAAAATTTAACTTGATCGCATATAATTATATGCTCACCCCCAAACGATTAACCATGAGAATTTTAGGGTCATTCCACTGAGTCTGTCTGTTTTGTTGATTTTCAAATCTTTGGTTTTAATTTCCTGAACCAGTTGGTTTTTACTGCAGGGCTTCCTGCCATTAGCTCTAGCTCCGGAAGAACGCATGCGCCAATTAGAGCTTCAAAGCCTCAGTCCAGTGAGCTTGTTTCCATAAAATGGAGCGGATCATAAACAATAACAGTACTCTAGAAACTGCCTCATCGCTACAGGACTCAAAGCCCCAGCAATGTTTATACTATCATCCCCCCAAAATCAGCCACCATCACTAAGTTATCTGGATTTCAGGCCTCTGTTTTTTGTTTGGTTTGATTTGGTTTGTTTTTTAAAAATCGTTCTTTTAAAGCCTTTGTATGTGAAAGCCAAACAGAACAATAGATTACCATAAAACCTGCTCCATATTCATTAACATCGCAAATAATGCCAAGCATCTACCAAATCTAGACTTTTAACAAGTTTTCCTCTCCTCATTTTTTACTACAGCCCATCAATGCAATCGCAAAGCCACGTTTTAGAGAACATGGAGGTAATTTTCACGCAGTTTAAATATAGTGCAGCCACTCATCCTGATGTTTAAAAAAATGAAGTCTGGCGTTGCGCAGCGTTTCTTGCCCCATCCCTTTGAACATGAAACGTTTCTTGCAGAACACGAAGTGACAGCAAAACAAAGCTCCAACCTACACAACCAAACTCGAGCTAAACCTGCATGGCCCAAGCTGAGCTTAAAAGAGCTTTGCAGACTGAACCGGTCTAAAACGCGGTCAAACTCATAAGCAAAGGGAAAGGAGGAGGATCTGGCCTTGGGCTCACTTTGTGCCAGTCGGTCTGACACAGCAACTGCTTCAAAAGTAAAGGACTGCAAACTCTTTGAGCTTCCCATCTCCCGGTTTTGACAGCACAGGACATCCCAAGGCGTTAAAAATAAGTTGCACCTTTTCTGGCCAGAGCAAAGTAGAGGAGAACGATATAGCCACAGGAACATATGTTCTGAAAATGAGAACCAAAGGGGGGCGGGGGGTGGCGGTGGCACAACTTTGAGGCTTTCAGGACACCATTAATTCATGGCTGAGGTCAAGGATTCCCAAATTAATTCAGGAAGTAATGGTCACGCATTTCTCAAATGCAGATGTCAGAAAAACTTAAAGGATTTACTATTACGTGGCTACGGGCTGGGAGGGAGAACAAACTTAAAAGTAGCTGCAGTTTCTGATATTTAAAATTGCTTGGTTGTCCACCTGTGGCAGAAGGGCGGCAGAGAAGCATCAGAGGCTCTGCTCCCCATAACTTCCCACTCCACACTCAGAGGTCTGAGCCCACAGCCCCTGTTCACGGGGATCCTCCCCATGCTGCTCCCAGTGAGAGGAGGGGATGGGAATGGAGGGATTACTCACTTGAACGAGGGAGCAAGATGGGGCCCGGCAAACGTGTAGTTCAGAGACTTAAAAGCAAATAACCGGTGGAATGCAATGCTGAGTCTGCAGGACTCGCCAAGTCCGTTTCAGGTTAAAACAAAAGGCGAAGGCACGCCATTAACATTTTTTTCGGAGGCATCGAAAATAACGCCCTTCCGATTTCCAACAAGCCGCACCAACTCGGGGGAAAAAAACCCAAACCCAACCCAACACCAAGTCTCCCGTTAGGCAAAAGCAACAGGCACTTTTTCCAAACGAGCCCTCCCAGCTCTTTGAGTGACTTACCCTCCACCAGCGACGTGAGCAAGGTAACGTTAGCAGCTTTACGCCTCCCGGCTGGCAGGTTTAATCCTATTTTGTCCAGTTTCTCCCTCAGAGATCTCCCTCCGTTTTTTGACTTCGCCCTGCTCCACACAAAAAGGCGTTGAGAAATGGGATCGGTGGGTGCCACCCGCTCCTACTTCGGCTCCCGCCCACCATCACCCCAAAACATTGCCTTCCCGTGGAGGCGAGTAACAGGGTTTTGGGGGGCTGAAGAGGGGGCGTTGTTGAAAGCTAAGTCTTAAACACATGGATGGCTCCACACCCAGGCTTGCTGAGGTCTGGATCA